AACTGCATGACTACATAACTACATGGCTACATGACTACATGACTACATGACTACAGAACTACATGACCACATGACTACAGGACTACAGAACTACAGGACTACATAACTACATAACTACATGACTACAGAACTACATGACTACATGACCACATAACTACAGGACTACAGGACTACATGACTACAGGGCTACAGGACTACAGAAGTACATGGCTACATGGCTACGACTACATAACTACAGAACTACATGACTACACGACTACAGAACCGCAGGACTACATGACTACAGAACTACAGAACTGCATTACTACAATGTCACAGGACTACATAACTACAGGACTACATGGCTAAAGGACTACTTGACTACAGGGCTGCAGGACTACTGGACCACATGACTACAGAACTACATGACTACATGACTACAATGCTACAGGACTACATGATTACAGGACTACATGACTACAGGACTACAGAACTGCATGACTACAAGGCTACAGGACTACATGGCTACACGACTACAGAACTACAGGACTACATGATTACATAGCTACATGGCTACAGGACTACAGGGCTACATGGCTACAGGACTACAGAACTACAGGACCACATGGCTACATGACTACAGGACTACATGGCTACATGGCTACAGGACTACATAACTACAGGACCACATGGCTACATGACTACAGGACTACAGGACTACATGACTACAATGCTACAGGACTGCATGACTACAGGACCACATGGCTACATGGCTACATGACTACAGGACTACAGTACTACATAACTACAGGACTACATGGCTACATGACTACATGACTACAGAACTACATAACTACAGGACCACATGGCTACATGGCTACATGACTACAGGACTACAGTACTACATAACTACAGGACTACAGGACTACATGGCTACATGACTACAGAACTACAGGATTACAGGACTACAGTACTAAAGAAATACACGATTACATAACTACAGGACTACATGGCTCCATGACTACAGGACTACATGGCTACAGGACTACAGAACCACAGGACTACATGGCTACAAGACTACAGAACTACAGAATTACAGAGCTACATGACTACATGACTACATGGCCACATGACTACAGAACTACATGACTACAGAACTACATAACTACATAACTACATGACTACAGGAATACATGAATACAGAAATACAGGACTACAGGACTACAAGGCTACCAGACTACAGGCCACTATGCTACAGGACTACAGGCCACTAGGCTACATGACTACAAGCCACCAGGCCACCAGGCTACAAGGATACAAGACTACAGGCCACCAGGCTACAGGGCTACAAGACTACAGGCCACCAGGCTACAAGGCTACAGGGAACTGGTACCTCTCCAGCTAACAGTCCGCTCTACTTTGTCCACATCGGGACTTGAACTAGCGATCCAGTAGGTCCACTGGCCACTGCCTCAGGTTTTTATAAAACATAAGAAATGTCTTCAAATGTCTCTCTGACCATTATCGGCACGAGATCATCAAAAGAGTTTCTATTGATTATCTGATTGGTGACTCCTCGTTGATCAGCTGTTTACTCACATCATCACATCTAAAGTGGTCGAACCAATCAGACGAGTTCCTCCAGAGACTCTAAATACTGACTGGAGGAGGAAGAGTTGACTCTGATCTTTAATCAATACCATATTGATTGCTAATGTTTTAATATTTATTAATGTTTATATTTAAAATCACTAGTTTGACCCGTTTTTGCTGCATGAAGGATTATTTGAATCTATAATATTTTCATAATAATTTATTTTATTATTTTAATGTGAAGTTTATTTATTATAGTATGATTAATATCTTAAGCTGAATCCTTCAATATAGATTTTCTTCTTGTTCAGGCTGCATCTAATCAATATGGTCATTATTGATTCATCTGGTCATTATGGCCATTATTGATTCATCTAATCAATATGGTCATTATTGATTCATCTGGTCATTATGGTCATTATTGATTCATCTAATCAATATGGTCATTATTGATTCATCTGGTCATTATGGTCATTATTGATTCATCTCGTCAATACTTTCTCAATTCATATCATAATTAATAAGAAAATTGTAAAATAAAATTCTGAGGAGATGTTTGTTTTACTCGACCAACAATCTAAAAAAAAATTTAACTTTATTATCTCATAAAACTGAGAATTTTGGGCTTTTCTGTGCTTTGAAATGAATACAACTAAAATATTCTGTCAGTCTATTAATCAATTAATCGACCTGCAGCTCGACTTTGTTCACCTGAAAGCTTCAGTTCAAAGTTTGACATCAAGAGTAATATGATAAGACCTGGTCTGAGAGCAGCTGGTCCGACCAGGTCCAGGTCTGAGCGCTCACCTTGAGTTTCTGGACAGTCCGGCTCTCCTCCTCGCGACACCACACCGTCACTCCTCCTTTATTGTAGCGGCTGACCCATCCGTCACAGCTCAGACACTGGTCTTTGAACGAGGAGAAGTCTGAGTCGTCCGGGATCTGCACCGGCATCTCCGCGACCACGACAGCTTATTAAATATAATAATAATAATAATGATACAGAGAGGCGTTCAGCTGCTCCTGTAGAGTGAGGTGATGACAGCAGCAGCTTCTCTTCTGTCTGTCAGGTGAACTTCTTCCTCCTCCTCCTCATCACTGCACAGATGGGTTAGAGTGCACAGAGCTCTCCCTCTGACCACATTTTAAACCGTGTGTTTGTATATTTACAGACACCTTCTCATAGATTATATATTTTAGATCATAGATTATATATTATATATTTTAGATTATAGATTATAGATCATAGATTATATATTTTAGATTATATATTTTAGATTTTAGATTATAGATTATATATTTTAGATTATAGATTATATATTATAGATTTTAGATTATAGATTATAGATTATATATGATAGATTATAGATTATATATTGTAGATTTTAGATTAGAGATTATATATTTTAGATTATAGATTATATATTTTAGATTTGAGATTATAGATTTTAGATTATATATTATATATGATAGATTATAGATTATATATGATAGATTATAGATTTTAGATTTTAGATGATATATTTTAGATTGTAGATTATATATTTTAGATTTTAGATTATAGATTATAGATTTTAGATTTTAGATTATATATTTAAGATTATAGATTATATATTTTAGATTTTAGATTATAGATTATAGGTTATATATTATAGATTATATATTATAGATTATAGATTATAGATTATATATCATAGATTACATATTATATATTATATTCTATAGATTATATATTTTAGATTATAGATTATAGATTATAGATCATAGATTATATATTTTAGATTATAGATTATATATTTTAGATTTTAGATTATATATTTTAGATTATAGATTATAGATTTTAGATTATATATTTAAGATTATAGATTATATATTTTAGATTTTAGATTATAGATTATAGGTTATATATTATAGATTATATATTATAGATTATATATTATATATTATAGATTATAGATTATAGATTATATATCATAGATTACATATTATATATTATATTCTATAGATTATATATTTTAGATTATAGATTATAGATTATATATTTTATATTATAGATGATATATTTTAGATTATAGATTATAGTCTCCTCCATCAGAGATACAGAACCAAGAGGATTTATTCCATTTTTTGGTGTTTCCACTTCCCAAAAGCCTTCATCAACCCAAACACAGTAAACTAGAATATTTTAAATATATTTGTATTGTTATTAAATTATATTTATATTGTATGTATAATAATATTATGAATTATATTATTATATAGACATTTAGATTTCTGTATTATTTTTCCTACCTTTCAATATTTCCTTTCACTTTTAGAGGACAAGACACTCATAAACTTACTAATACTCTTGTAGGTGACTGGAAATAAATTAGCAGAGTGACTCAGCCTCTCAATAGAACATCTCTGGTAACAGGTTGTATGTAAAGAATGCTGTCTTCAGGGGCTCCTGTAAATATGAATATCCCCATGCTAGACAAGAGAGGAAAGATGATGTATTTTCACATCAGTCGGTCCTTCTGCATGAAACGTGAGGTTTTCATTTAATAATTTGCTTTTGATTGATTTCATTAAAACACTGACTCGGCTGATTCAGAGTTTATTTTATATTCTGGAAAAATATGTGAAATACGTCTGAAGAGCTACAACAGTTTGGATGAAAACCTCCTTTAGGTTCAGACTTCCAGACCATAGAGAAATGTGAATCACAACCTGTGAGCTGAGCGTTGTGATTTCAGACGGCCGCTGAATGCATCAGTAACACTAACTGATACCTGTTGTTCAGGTGGAACGGTGGGCGGAGTGAAAAGTGTGAGTCACACTGATGGTCAACAGATCAGGTATCAGCAGAGAAACACCTAAGAAGAAGAAGAAGAAGAAGAAGAAGAAGAAGAAGAAGAAGCTTCCAGAAACTGTTTGTATTGTTGTATTGTATTGTAGACTTTTATTCTGAAATTAGTTTAGTTTCAACTCTATGACACACAGACTTTTACTCTGAAACTAGTTTAGTTTTAACTCTATGACACAGAGACTTTTACTCTGAAAATCTTACTTTGCAGATTCAGATATTACATTTAAAAACAATGATAAGCTGATGATACTTTTGTGTAGTTTTTGTCATATAGGGGTTTGAATGCAGGACATGCATTCAGGACATTGAATGCATGTACTCGTACTTATACTTAAGTAAAGGAACTGAGTACTTCTGAGAACCACCTCTGTGTTCCCAGCAGAGGGAGCTCTGCGCCCTGAAACCAGTTTGTGTGTGTGTGCGTGTGTGTGTGTGTGTGTGTGTGTTTGTGTGTGTGTGTGTGTGGGTGCGTGTGTGTGTGTGTGTGTGTGTGTGTGTGTGGGGGTGCGTGTGTGTGTGTGTGTGTGTCCTCTTCACATCAGTGATGGAAAGCTGCTCATGACCTGTGACCTGTGAGAACATCTGCTGGAAACCTGAACTTTTCCTGAACACAAAGCAGCTCTGTGTGTTACAGACCATCTGCTGCACACACACACACACGCCACACACACACACACACACACACACACACACATGAATAGAGAATATGTCTGTACCTTGAGAATACTCTTGGTATCTTGATAGAGGTGCAGGCATCAGTATATATATACAGTATACTTCTGCATCTAAAACAACTACAGAAAAAGTGTCTCACTCGTACGACACTGCTTCTACGTGTTCATTATTTACAGCAACACTTTACATGCACAATGTCTCAACTTGTGTTTTGTTTTTAAAAACGTCTTTTAGACAAACTTCCTGTTATGTGGGTGTGCAGGATGAATATGTTGTTCCATGTTTCAAATGTTTTTATCTGGTGCTTGATGTGATGTAACCAACTGACCCCAGTACCAGGATCAAGATTACAACTTTTACTCTGAAAACCAGTTATGTCACAAATGCTTTTACTATGAAACCTGTTTAGCTTCAACTTTACGACACAAAAACTTTTATTCTGAAAAAAAGTTTGGCTTTAGCTTAATGACACAAAGACTTTTACTCTGAAAATGAGATTAATTTCAGCTTCAAATTGTACACATTTGAGGTAGTTTTCTAGTAAAAGATGATTTCGTTTTTATACATTGATATATTGTTATAGATTCGACGACAGTGCAGCTCAGAAGTCTATAAGGTAGTCAAAATAATGAGTCAATGCATCAGTAATAATATTATTATTATTATACATTACATATAAAGATGTAACTCTGCTCAACAAGTACATTCTTTCTCATTTTCATGAACTTCATTTGGAAGATTCTTCACGACGACATGATGACGTACTGAACACGTCTATAAACAAGGAGACACACACACACAAACACAGACACACACTCAGACACACGCACACACTCAGACACACAGACGCACACACACACACTCAGACACACAGACACACACACACACATAGACACACACTCTCACACTCACACACACACACTCAGACACACACAAACTCAGCTTCCTGTTGACCTGCTGTGTGTTTTAATGTCTCTCTGGATAATTGCTGAACATGAACAGTCTGCTTTGTTTTATATCGTCTTCCTGCCATCAGCCTGAAGCAAATCTGCGTCATCGTCTTTAAATCTTTTTGTGGGACATTCAGTGTCTTCACAGGGAGGACAGACTGGCTGTACAGTTGGACCCGCAACAATATGCCAACCTGGTTCCCCCTCGGACCAGGACCTTCCTCTCAGCCCACCTGTCCACTGCCGTTCTGTCCATTGACTGTCTGTCCACTGACTGTCTGTCCACTGTCTGTCTGTCCAGAATCTGTCCACTGACTGTCTGTCCAATGTCTGTCTGTCCACTGTCTGTCCACTGACTGTCCACTGACTGTCTGTCCAATGCATGTCTGTCCACTAACTGTCTGTCCACTGTCTGTCTGTCCACAATCTGTCCACTGACTGTCTGTCCAATGTCTGTCTATCCACTGACTGTCTATCCTCTGTCTATCCATTGTCTGTATAATGTCTGTCCACTGTCTGTCTATCCATTGTCTGTCCACTGTCTGTCCTATGTCTATCTGTCCACTGACTGTCTGTCCAATGTCTATCTGTCCACTGTCCGTCTATCCAATGTATGTCTGTACACTTACTGTATATCCGCTGTCTGTCCACTCTCTGTCTGTCCACTCTCTGTCTGTCCATCCATTGTCTGTCCAATGTCTGTCCACTGTCTGTCTATTCATTGTTCGTCCAATGTCTGTCTGTCCACTGACCGTCTCTCCACTGACTGTCTGTCCACTGTCTGTCTGTCCAGTTACTGTCTGTCCAATGTCTGTGTATCCACTGACTGTCTGTCCACTGTCTGTCTGTCCGCTTACTGTCTGTCCAATGTCTGTGTATCCGCTTACTGTCTGTCCAATGTCAGTCCACTGAGTGTCTGTCCACTGTCTGTCCACTGTGGTGTCCACCTGAAACTCCAGGAGGATAAACATGAAATAGTTTCCTCCCTTTAAATGTTTAACAAGAGGAAAAGCTCTCTGAGGGTCAAATGGGAAATAGTTCAGGTCGGACACATTCAGATCAACTAGCTGTTAGCTGTTAGCTGTTAGCTTACATAACTTCAGGTAGAGGGCTTCTGTGTTTCAGTCATTATTACATTAATAAAAGAGGAGTGAAGTGAGTCTGAGGATTCATCCTCATCCTCAGTGTGAAATGATGAAGGTTGTTTCAGGTTGAGATGACGTTCAGCCGCTGACATCCCGTCATGTCTCGCCTCACCTCGTCCTGTCACGTGCACATGGATTAAAAAAGGAGGTCTGCTTAGTTTAAGATCCAGCATCCTGTTTAGTCTCCGTGTGAAGTGAAACTTTCAAACTCAGACTGACTTTCTATCTTCATCCTCAGCGAGATGACTTCACCTCTTCGTCCTCTGACAGGCGGCCCACGTGTCCTCTCTGCGGTCGGGCAGGGCTGAATATTTTCCATCATTATTCGTTTCTATGCTGATGACACCCACGAATATCTAACAGTGAAACAAAGGTTTTAATAA